GGCGTCTCGAGATGGAACCTCCGGGTGGTAATAATCTGCGATCCCTCTTTCGGTCCAAGCATAGTTTTGATAGAAATAAGAGAGCAAGCAGACCAATGAACTATATTTGTTGGACCCTCTCGCAGGGAGTAACAAAAATGCCACATTTGTTGGATTTTGAAAGCCAATTCCTTCGCTAGCGACTCCGTTTGCCCAGTCCAAAATTTCCGGCTTTGGTAAATTTGGACGACATGTCATCTCTCCTCAGGGATTCGGAAGGAGAGGTCTCGACTCTACCCCCCCTCCGAGTACCCGTTCGCCCCGTCGGGGTGGTTTGTATGCTGCCATATCCCGATATTTAATTCGTTTGTTAGGTTCTTTGAAGGTATTGGGGTGTCCTCCAGTTGTTCTTGCTGGCAGGGAGGGGACACCATGTTTGAACAGATCCTGATACGGTTCCGGGGAGGACCTATCTCGAGCAATAAAGATGAAGACGAGGAGAGCGATGAGAACTCTTCGGATACAGCCACTAGCCCGTCGGCCTCTGATGGCGTTGTTGCGAGAGAGACATTGCAGCTGCCGCTGTCCAGGTCGGTGGGTTGCCCGCCGTCTCCGTCGCCGTCGTTGCGGTTTCCCTCGCCGTCGCCTTGCACAACTATAAACTCGGCTTCTAATTCAAATGAATCTTCCCCTTCCCCTTCTCCCTCTCCCTCTCCCTCTCTTCCTCTTTCTCTTTCTTCGTCACCGTCTCATCATCATCATCCTTCTCTCATCCACCATTCTTCTTTATCATTACAAACACCTCCAGCAAGCATAACTTCGGCCAATATGGCCAAAAAATCTACAAGAAGAAAGGAGCCTTTGGCTCAACCGTCTACAGGTGGTGGGGAGGCGAAGACGAGGGGGCAGAAGAGGAAGGCGGCGGAGATGGGGGGCCCTGCACTGGCTCCCGTTGCTGATCGGGATGGAGGTTCACCTCCTCCTGAGAAGCGCGTGACCAGGGCAGTGGCGGCGAGGGAGAAGGAGAAGGAGAAGGAGACAGAGAAAGAGAAGACGACGAAGACGAAGACGAAGACAACGACGGAGAAGAAGAAGGTGGAGAGGAAGGGGAAGGGGAAGGCAGTGGAGGTAGAGAGAGAGAAGTCGGTGGAGGTGAGGAAGAGGAAGAGGGGTGGAGAGGTTGGAGAGGAGGCGGTCGCAGTTGGTAAGTCTATCTGTCTATCTATCCATCCGAAATACCCATTGCATTCCTTGAAGTTATTCCCATCATCGAAGAGATGAATAAAAATCCTGTTGGAGAAGCTCCTGATGGAGTTTCGAGATATCTCGTTGCTTGATATTGAAGCCGTTGCCGGAACTTCTGAAGATATCCAGGTAGTGGTGTTGCGAGTTGACCTCGGCCAGCCGTTGCAGTCAACCTCAGGTCTGAATTCGAGGACCGGTTCACGCGTGCGACAGCATTTTTTGCATTTTTTTTATTTTTATTTGGGAGTAACTGTCACAACGAAACAATTGCTAACTCCCATTATTAGGCGACGCCGAGGAGGCAGGGGTTGGCGGTGCACCCGAAGCACCTGCATCGGCACCGTCTGGTAGGACGGCGGCAAAGGGTGGGCAGAGGAAGGGGACCTCTGCTCAGCCCCGCGCTAAAAGACCTACCAGGTCGGCAAAGGGCCAGCCCCCCAAGAAAAGGGCTCTACACAAACTCCTGTGCCCCGGGGTACGTCATCCACATTTCGAGAGCTATATGTTTACGCTTTTACTAACGAAGGGACTATAGCCAAAAGATAAGATCGGCTTTCCTTGGTGGCTAGAGGAGACGGAGGAGGAGACGGAGACGGAGGAGGAGGAGGGAGAGATGGAGTTGAGAGGGAGGAAGAGGAAGGCGGACGAGTTTGTGAGGTGGGTGAAGAGGAGCCGTGCGGACTCCTTGGAGGCCCTCGTCGAGCTGGACGACGAGGAGCAAGAGGAGGAAGAGGGTCAGGGTGCTGCTTCCGCGAGGAAGCAGCATCAGCCGCCGAGCTTCCCGGAGTACGTGTACTCCGACGAAGTGAAGCAGGCACCACTACCAGTGGTTGATCCTCTTGCCGACTCCCGCTTCCAGGAGCCGCACAACAAGCTGAGGAACAAGGAGGCGGCCTTCCACCGCGAAGAACGCGTTTCTGAGGACACCAACCTCAAGAAGTACAAGAAGTTGTGGGACGAACTTGAGGAAGTCGCTCATGACGATGATCTGTGCTTCGAGGTTCTCGGTGTGGAGACCCCAACCTCCCCTACGAGGAGGAAGTCCCTCCTCAGAAAGAAGAGACGGTTGGTGAGGGAGTTGAGGGAGATCGTGACGCGCGCGGAGCCGTATAAGGAGGAGCAGAGGAGGCTTCGCCTTAAGGTCGGGGATGAGGAGCGGTTGGATGTTACCTATGCAGGTTACCTCCGCAAGACCAAGTTGGCGCCTTTGAAGCTTCGGAGTCGTCTCATCGAGAGGCACCACTGGAAGAAGGCTTGAAGGGCGATACTGATGACCAATGGGAGTGTTTAGTGCGTTCCCGGACTTCGTCATTCGTTCTTCTCGCTGGATTCCTGTGGAGTGGGCTCGATCGACAAGGTCGCATCATGGGCACTTGGTTTTTCGGAGAGAGCTTGCAGCGGTACATCTGTCGGGATGGAAAACCCGGTTATTAAACCCGTCTGCCTGGGCGACGATAAACCCTGGGGAGGAAAGAAACCTCTTGAAAAAACTCGTCACACTAGGGAGTGACGTTAAAGCTCTCTCGGGTGGGGAGAAGGAAAACTCCTCAGAAAAAAACACCCACGAGTCCGACGTCGGCCTTGCTTGTCGTCGTCGTGTCCCCTAAAACTTCGCCTTTGCTTTCCGTCATCACGATCTAGACAGAGGCCTAGAGGCACTCCACTCTCAGAATAACGTCTGCTGAGATTCAGCCCCGTTTGCCGTCCATCCTCACACTTTTCACGAGCATCGCCATACCCAAATAACCCCTCTCGATTTCGGCTCTTTGCCTGGCTGTCTATCCCCACGGCCACTACGGCGGCTCATTCTTACGACCGCGTTTATGACTTTAACGACGCCCACGCTTTGGCTTGGTCGCTTATTTATTCTGCATTATACCACGATAAATGGTTGTATTTTTACGGTACAGGGGGGTTTGGAGAAGGGGTGTATTACTTTTTATCCTTTCTGTACAACTATGACGGAGGCGTTCGGCATGCATATTCTTTATTATGTACACTAGACACCGGCTTTTACGATCCCTTGAGCATCCGGTTTCGGGGCCACTGGCTCTACTGCTTAATACCTAATGAACCGCTCTTTCTGACAAAGAGCCATTCCAGAGGACGCTTCCGCAGAATCCTCTAACCACACACACACACCCATCTCGCCATACTAGCACCGGCTCGAAAAACACAGTCGATACTTTACCTAGAAGGTCCATTGTGCAAGTTATTCTCCCGACCTTTTCAGCCGGTGAACGATCGAACGGCTTATTCTGAGGTCTGTAACCACAGTCAACGTTCAAACTTGGTACATCTACTTTGCTAGATCGTGGGAATCGGCATGTCATCATCGGCTCGAAACACACACTTGTTACTCTACCTGGGCGGCCATTATGCAGGCTATCCTTTAGAGCTTTTCAGCAAAAGAACGATACCACGGAGGGTTTCCCGCCCTTGAAAGTTGTTTATTCTCGTCAGATTGCCATCCCTCAGGTCAATCATAAGGATAGACACGGACACTATGCGCAGCAGAACGCCAATGGATGCCACCCTCAGATCCCCATGATGTCAAGACGTTTTTCTTTAGACCTTTTCGGCGAATCTGGAGGTTAACGCAAAGATTCCCTGCCCTTGAAATTTGTCAATTCTCTCCGGATTGTCGTACCTCAATTCGATGAGAACCATAGACACCGAGAATTCTACACAGCAGGACGCGGGAGGATGCTACCCTCAGACCCTCACAATATTGGGACTTTTCTTCAGACCTTTTCAGCAAGCGAAGATTACCAGAGAGGACTTCCCGCCCTTGAATTGATCAACACTCTTCGGATCACTTCACCTCAGTCCGATCAGTCGACACGGGTAGGATGCACAGCGAGATGCCGAGGAATGCTGGCCTCGAATCCAGGCGCTTGAGGCGAAGGAGGGATGCTATTCAGATTTTCTCAACGCGGGGGTATTTCATCTGGATATTGGCGACTTTAGTTGGATCTTCATATTCTCTCCTGTTTTTCGAGACCGCAGCCGTCACTATTGGATCACATGCTGCTTTCCTACTATGGGTTCGTCTAGCTCGTTGGCACATTCTCCATCCCAGATATTTCAGTTAGTCCAGTTTTGCACACACACACGCACCCTGCCTGTTCCGCCAGTCTGTTTGGGACATGGAGCAGCTCTTAGTTTTACAGTTAGAGACTTAGCCCGTGCGTCTAATGCAAAACCCGAACCGCGAATTACTCGCAAGCTTGACCTTAACTTCGCATAAATAGTACCCTATACTAGGAGTGAGCTAAGTACATCAGTAGAGAACCTCGATAGCATTTCATTTGTCATAAGAGCCTTTCGTGTAGCCCATTCTTCAGCAATTTGGTAGAATACAGTGACAATATTACCATTAGGGGAGTGGCGGGATATAATATCAACGGCACGATTGATGGACCCCAATAACGTACGTTAACGTATAAAACCAGGGAATGGATGAACGAGAATACACGACATAGACTAGTGACAGGCCTCAAGGTTTCCGAATGGGAGCAATTTACAAAATTCTGCTTGATCTAATATTGGGGGCATTCACTTTTCTGAATGCTCCCTTAATATCTGCTACCATTAGTACATAAAATATTTCTTGGAGATAGAAACCAAAAGATCAACCGTTTAACCGCCCATCAATTCAAACATCGGACACCAATACCGATCCTACTGTCTCTCATATACTAGGAAGGCAGTCTAAAAGTTCTCGTTTGCCAGCCGAAAAAGAGACAAAAAAAAAAACCCAAAAAAGAACGTCCTTCCGATACCGGGAATCGAACCCGGGGCTGTCCGGACCATCTTAGCAGATCTTGAAATCTACTATTGAAAGCGGACGATGTTAACCACTACACCATATCGGACGTATCTTGGTTGAAGGACTGCGCATCAATTTTCATTATGAAGTGTGTTGAAAGTGTTGTGAGAGCGCTATGTTACACGGTTATCACAACGCATAAACTACCACATTCGAATAGGTCGCGCAGAGTTTTTGAACAGCTTTGATGAGGCAGTTTATGTATTGAAAGCCAAATTATCTGACCTTGAGCCACACACTGAGATATCTACTTTAGCGTGCACTGTATACGTTGGCCATGCTACCGACGTCGACGGGCATACGCTGTTATAGGTATTATAGGCTGTGAGCCGTGATATCGAACAATCGGGATATCGTTAAGCAAGTCTTGTGAAGCGGAAGCGACTGGATTGGTAAACGATCCTTTCATTATATTATCAAGCTATCACATACAAAGATAACATGAATGCAAAACGCAATTACAAAAAGTTAAGTCATAATAGTATCATATACTCGCAAGACGCCCAGCGGACCTGTCTATTTCTCCAATTCTTTCTCGCCATAGACTGCGTCGGTCTTCTCGATTGGTGCCTCTTCGTCGGAAGCAACGACCTCTCCAATTTGTGGGGGGAGGACTGGGGCATCGAGCAAACTAGGCTTGTGGGGCGAGATGTACATGTTGATGACGTAGTGGACAAGGAACGAAACGCTGAAGCCGAAGAGCCAGGCGAATGTATCTATCACTTTTGTTAGTCGCGAACCCCACACAATTATAGTAGGTAGGGAAACTTACAAATCTTCCAAGCTCCACCAACATTGAGATCATTATCGATGGATTTAGCAAATCCAGGGAGGCTAACAAATAAAAGGCGTCAGTATTTGAGGGTACATTCTGGAGTATCTGTAACTTAGACTTACGTTGGTAGGAAGCCGAAGAAGAAACTAGTCCAGGCCCTCCAATTGATACCATATGAGTAATAATAGATACCGTCTCCTTTGTACATCTCGCGGATATCGAATCGCTGCTTCTTAATGACCCAATAATCGCACACGATGACACCGGCGAGAGGACCCATCATGCACGAATAACCGCTGAGGAAGGCGAGAAGGCCTGCAGCGTTCTTGATGATCAACCATGGTTGACAGACGACGCAAAAGACCCCGGCCAAAAGGGTGGCACGGAAAATGTTGATATACTTGGGAGAAAGACCGGAGATATCGTTGGAGAACGGGAAAGTTCCAGCTATCGAAGTTAGCGTTTCGTTCAGTGATAACTAAGGCCAAGGGAAGAATCTTACCAGCGATCTGGTTTCCGATAGTGGCGAGGATGAAGCTGAGGCCGACGAAGAACTTGGCGGCACGGCTATCCCAGGCGGCAATGATGGCCGGCATGTACCATTGGAACTGGCCATGTTGGTATTGGTGGGCAGATGTAACAAAGATTGGAGTCAAGGCGCCGAGGGTTCCAATAACAGGAAGGGCGAAGAATTGATTGTATCCGGCCAAGCCATCCTTGGAAAATCTACCGAAATCGGGCATGTTGACGGCCATGGAGCTGAAAAGTCCAATAATGACATTCAATCCAGTCAAGGCACTGTATGCAGTGTTCATATAATGACTGGTAAGTTGGGTAGGGCCCTTAACTAAAGGACCGCCTCCCTTAGTAACAATCGCTCCCCACAAGAAGAGGGCAAGGAAAGTTGGTGGAACAACTACGGCCTTTACAAGGAACAAAATCCTCAGCTTGTGAATAGGCATGAGCGACAAGATCGTTTGCACGATCCAGTATAAGAAGAAGCACAACATGCCAGCAGAGTCAATTCCAACGGAATCGGGGAGGTGGTTTGGAAAACTCGCAAAACTCGGCCATATCGCGGTGATACAGTTTCGCAGGAAATCAGCCGCCTGGACACTATGGAATTGTAAGTTCAGATGGTCCCAGTTTCTTTAATCCTCGGTGAATACGTACCAAAGAATTGCCGTCCACATAAGAGCAACGAAACCACGGAGCAAGATGGCGGGCATAGAACCGTACATGCCAAAGATACCTCGAACCACGACTGGATAGGAAATCGAGCTACCAAAAATCAGTATTCCAATTCAAAGGATTTCACAGTTGTTAACTTACTATCGAGCCCCGATTTTACCAGTGAGGGTAATGACCACCGAGCAAATCATGAATCCGCAGAATACGATAGGCAGAGTTGACCTATATCCGTCAGAACGAGTCTATAGAATTATCGAGTACACGAGTGAAACGTACTTGGCGGTAAAACCCAACGACATGACGACGGAAACCGTTGAGGCGAGCTAACAGGTAAATTAGATAGTGCCATATCGATGTAATAGGGTCCGAACATACTGGAGGGGCGAGCATATCGGACGTCCAGTACGCCCAGTAGTCTCCAGCACCCCATGTCCGCTTTTCTGGTGGGACAGGGTCCAAGTCTACGGCCGACTATATTAGCCCATGTCTCGAATAAAGCCTAGGGAATCCTACCTGGGTTACTCCAGCGCTCATTTCCGTAGGAACCAGGGTTCTTTGGAACCTCGAGGTGTAAATGCGGCCCAATCCTAGCCTTGATCTGGGAAGGAGAGGGTATCGAGGGCAAGGATAGAGAAACCATGTTGGGCAATGTAGTCGCTGTAAACCCTAGACAGAATGGAAAGTCGATGCTGGATAGATGGGAGTACAGGTGAGATGTAACCTGGATTTATACTTGAACCCTCGCCCTCCCACGGATCTTGACTGACCCTGCTGTGGAGCCGTTAGATCCACTCGCGCGACTCTCAGCTGCTAGCTGTCTCGCGTGGATCCAACCATGCCGTCCTGCATGAAAAGGAAAAATGTGTCTGATATAGCATAAAGCTCTCATGATAACCTAGTCTGGTCCGAATATTCGGGATCCGATCATGGGAATACTCGGTTCTGGAATGCAGGGTGGATACGCACTTCAGGTTCCAGGATCTTCTGAGATAACGGACATGCACAAGCGCTTGAAACTCTGTGTGACAGACGGCATGCAGACCCCCGCTTCGCAATTGTGACTATTCAATAAGGTTGCTAGCTTGTCGAGGCTTGACAGGGGTCCATCTAGTTCTCTGCCCTGTGGCCCGCCGGCAATCCCTTGAGGGCGAGATATCGAAATGCAACCTGTGCATGAAAGATCACTCCGCAATTTTATATTGACCATCCTACTCCCGCAAACGCGCAAACATCTTTTTTGGTAGGCATTAGATATATCTCCCAGAACCATAACGATACAGTGATTATTGTTCAATAAATTCTTAATTTCACCGGGAAGCAATCGAAAGAAACCCTCTGAGCTGTCCCTTCTGTGACATCATCTATTTCGTACAAAGTATTTGTCGGAATGCAAAGAGCTGCAGCTGCAAGGCTTGATGCCTGGCTACATGGATTCACGAATTTACGCGAGCTGCAGATGGGAACCAGCATCTGGGACTCAACCGACGGAAGACGTGGGATGCGTCGACGAACCGCCAGCCATTCCTAATTCAGTGTAACTCAAAGCTGAAGGCACGTGCGACGGCGTGGGATGTGTTGGTTTTGAGAGGCTGCTCGAGGCCGACGGGCGCCGCGGCCAGGCTGATGGTTGACCGGCGGGCCTCTCACATTGGGCGAGGCCCTGAGGCCTGCAGCTTATTCGTTTATCGCTCTATCGAAAAAGCGCCACCGGGACAAGGGTTGAGATGTGGACGTGGTTGTGAACAAACGGTCTGGAAAACTCCAGCGTCGGCACAGCGCCGCGCCGCTGAATGGCAATATTTGCGATTAAATTTGATAGCTGTATACTTGCTTGACCCGCGGCGTGGACGCGGCCTAAAAATGTATACGGCCCTGGGAGATACTCTGTTTGTTTAAATATTGCACGCAGAGTTGGTCAATATGTAAAGTAAGTAAACAGGTTTCCCATGTTGATTCGGTGCTTGAATATTCGTTTTGCTAAGGCTAGCTAAGGTACAGTCCTCGAAGCTAGTGAGCTTATGTTGCCCCACCCGCCTCACATCCTTCAGTATCTGTAGAGCATTCCGGGTGCGGGGGATTCTCTGTACCAACTATCTGGAAACGATCACGTAAAATCGTTAGCTCCGGAAATCCATATGTATCATAGCTTCTCCTGATATCTCGCTCATATCGGGTTCCTGCGGTTTCCCACAGCACTGTGCAGCCTTTGACGGATGCTTGGGTACCATGGCTTGAGATCTTGCAATTGGGGATCAACTTGTGGATTAATTCGGACATCAGGCCACTGAGCAGCATATATAGGACCCTCAGTCCATCTGAAATTCTCGAATTAGTGCACTGTGCTTGTACGCTCGTCCTCATCCACCTCCAACCTCCCCAACTATCGGTGCCGTCGATTTTCAGCTTAAGTTTGGCGAGATTAACAACGCATTGTGGTCGCATTATCCAACATCACTTTCAAAATGGCTATCTCGAAGTTGCTCCCAGAGAACGTTTCCTTCTCTGCAAAGCCATATGCGTTTAGCTTCCCATCTGCGGCGACAGCATTGCTTATTATTGATATGCAAAGGGACTTTCTTCTTGAGAATGGATTCGGGCATATTCAAGTTCGTAATACTATTTGAAACCTAGAGTCGAGTGAACACAATAATTGACTTGAGATCCGAATAGGGAGGCAATCTTACAAACGTTCAGGCTGCGATCAAGCCGACTGCAAGGCTGCTCGAGGTTTGGAGAGGTCTCGGCCTCCCTGTAGTACATACTAGAGGTATAATATCTCCGACTCATCCTAATATTGGTAATTGCGTTCATGGAGCTAAACGTTATGAATATAAGAGGGCCACGTCCCCGATCTGTCGGACTGCCCATCCTCGAAGCTTGTTCGACAAGCTGCTGCTCCAGGGAATAAGCAGCATGCACAAGTGATTGGTGACAAAGGACCAATGGGTCGGCTTCTTGTTCGAGGAGAATACGGTCACGATTTCGTAGACGAACTTCAACCCCACGAATCTGAAATCGTGGTCGATAAGCCAGGGAAGGGTGCTTTCTACAACACTAGACTGATGGAGATTCTACAAAAA